ATAGAGAAAAAAAAAAACGATGCATGTATTTAATACTTATTGTTGTAATATACGTATAAAAAAAAATTAATACGATTTGTTGTTCGTTTAGTTCTACAAAGACAATTTTTTTTCATTTTCTATTGATATTTTAAAGATTTTAATAAAGGAGTTTTAGTGTCACAAAAGAAAATTGAAATTTTGAATAACTGAATAAGATGAAAATAAAAAAAAAGCGATTTTATTTTTTTCTTTTTTGAAATGTAAAATCGATTAATCAAAAGAAACCTTTACATAAATGTTTTATGGACAAGGACAATTAGAAAGAAAAAAAAAAAAAAAACAGAGCTAAACTAGAGAACAAGACAAATGTAGGAAGCTATCTGTTTAGTCTCGACCGGATCCATTCTTGTAGCAGTCCACTTAACTTCTTGGATTTGTGATAGCTCAGCGACGTGATACGGTTTTGAATTGATTTCTCGATGGTTATGGCAAAGTGGAGATGCGTATGATAGTGCTTATGTTTCCTCTCATTCCGTTTGCGCCATAAGTAGTATATTGTCGTTCGCGCCATAAAAACGAGTTTTTATTGACAAAAAGCAAATTATTACAATGAAATGAGCATAATAATTTAGTTAATGATAGGATTTACAAAGATTTTTATTGGCATGTGATATAAATATCATCGAATTAATATATATATATATATATATATATATATATATATATATCACATGCCAATATATATATATATATATATATATATATATATATGTATATGAATAAGATAATCTATTTGGTCGTGGATTTAAACTAATATTTATTGGGGTTTTTCAAAACAATGTTATCAACATTACAACATACGACTTATTTACAGAGTCTCGATTTTATGTATACTTTCTTTCACGACCAAAAAGAAGCAAAGAACATTCTTCTTCCTCAACATTGATTCTCCCAAAGTTTTCTTGTTCAAAACTCGAATCAGCTGACTCCTCTGTCCTGGAACCAACGCTGGAGTCTGGAGAAGAGGGCGAAGTCATGAAACATCCTGGTAGCGGAGCGATACCATCCTATTGCGAACTGTTTTCTCGATAATGCGGATTTGGTGAGTCGTCAGGTGATGGATATGCTTGATACATCGTCATCTGGAAAGCAAGAGGGAAGTGAGCTTCAAAAGTGTGAGGCGCTGAGGAGGGTCCGGGTGAGACACGAGTAGATCCTTTCTATGTTTCTATGCACCCATTTTTTTTCTCTTCACATTAAACTCTACAAACTTTGGTCATTGGTTTAATTCAAATTTCATTGATAAGCAACAATGATACAATGGCACGAAACCCAAGAAGAACAATCGCATTGTTCTCTTGTAGATCATCAAAAATCTACTTCCCGGCACTATATCGGCACTCTTGTTTTTTTTTCCAAAACTCACCACTCTTGTTGGTCACACATCCTCCTACATTTCATCTCTAACTCTTGCAGGATATGGACTTTACACAGGCTCCAACGACAGAGTTGTCATATTGTGGACTGCAAGCACGTTAGAAACACTAGCAGAAGTATCAAGCTGTGGTGACATAATAAAAGGAGAAAGAGGAGGAGCAGAAGCAGTGAAGTCTTTGGTAATCTAGGCTGATAAGCTCTTCCCAGCACCAAGATCAAAAGATACATGTGTAGAAGATAACTACGTCGTTGAAGAAGAAGCGGGTGGTAAAAAGTACATGCATTTAGCTATGATGCCAAAGATTAGTGACCGTTTAGCAAAGTCATTGATGCCTATAAACCAAGTCGAAACAAGGAGGCACAAAAAAGCTTCATGGGTTCACCATGTAGAAGCGGTTTCAGGTTTAGCCTTATCAAGAGATGGAACACTCCTCTATTCTGAATCATGGGACCGGACGCTCAAACTCAAAATATGGCAAACCACCAATTTTAAATGCCTAGAGTCCATCACAAACTCCCACGATGATGTAATCAATGCGGTTGAAGTATCCGAGAATTGATAAGTATACATGGGATCTTCTGACCAGAGAATCAAAGTATGGAGGAAAAAAGTCAATGAGGACTTGTGACTAGATGTAAGGTTACCTATAACTTGCATTATGAAGTTGTACTCAATATTCTCCTTAATATGTCCAAAATAAAAGGATGTTATCAACAGATGGCATCATCGTAATATGAAAAGAATCAATACTAATTATAGAAAAGATTCAAAGTGAACTCCAAGAGAAGTGATATAAATATTCTTTTCAATCTTTTACAAATCAAGGTTACAGGAAAGTGTTTGGACAAAATTTACAACGGTAATTTAGAAGGAGTACCTGCTTCACGTGGATATTTTTGTGGGGTGGAATGATCTTTACGACAAACAACCGTTGTCCGCTGTCCGTATGGGCTATGTGAATCCACTGCATCGTATTGTGACAAAACTAAATCAAAACAAGTATATTTGCAGATTTGGTTATTGAAAAGCATAAACGAGAAATAAATCCGTTTATCCATAGTTGCGTAGTAGGTTTCCTAGTGGTACCAAAATTTTAGCACAACTCATTTCCACTAATTCAGCCCAAAGTCACTTCTATTCACCCCGAATTTCTTAGGCTAATATTATGAATAAAAGTTTATGATATTTTGGCATATGAAACAAAACATTTTCCAACTTAGCAAGAGATGTATCAGGCATAACCAAGATAACAAGGGTTATCCTCTTCTGTGGCATTGTTATAACGTTCGCTTTCAATAAAGGTCAAAAACATATTTAGTCCCTGCTATGGTATAACGAGAGACATGTAAGTGTCTTCAGAAAAACTTGTGAACATATATATAAAGGCCAAACGCAAACACACCTGGACTGATTTGTAAGATTGAACCACCCAACATGCGAACAGCATTTTCTGCATTTTGAACTTCCTCCTGTTTTTGACAAATTCATGAAACATAAAGGTTATAAAGAACGGAAGCCAGAATCCAGAAATTTGTATACACGCATTACATGAAGTAGCAAGAAACAAATCTCCAAACAAAAAACTTAATGTTCACTAACATCCTAAATTCTTCATAAACATAAATCAAAAACAAACTGCCACAAATGAGAACTCTTACCTTAGGGTCATGACCCTTAGCAGCTACAAACAATCCACCAATCCGAACCAGAGGAAGACAATATTCAACTGAAAATTCATAACAAACAACTCAGATCCACTTTGACTACTAATAAGCAATTTTGTTTCTAGTACTTGAAACTTGTAAATAATACCTAAGACTCTCATCTCCGCGACAGCTCTTGCAATAGCCACATCAAACTTCTCTCTGTACATAACATCGTGCCCACAACTCTGTTCTATAACAAAAGTAGGACAATATAAATTAGAATCAACTTACTGGCTCTTATGTCACAAAAGAATTACACAAACAGGAGCACAGTTAATGGGTGAGATTTTTATAACATAGTCCAGGATTAGGAAAAGTATTTTTCTCAATCATGAATCATAGTTTCCAACAGAAACTCTACACAAAGAGAGTAGCTCGAAAAGATAACATTCATCAATAGACCAACTTCTAAAATGGTTTAATTTTAAAGTCTAATCCATAGCTCAGCTGTTTCAAGAGGTTGTTAGCTTGAAACAAAAAAAAAAGTCATTCCAGAATGTCAGAAACTGCATCTAGATTGAGTTACCAAAGACAGTAGAGAAACCAGGAGAAGCCAACTAAATAAGTGAACCTACTAAATTATGTTGCAGAGACGCATCACTAAAATAAAAAAAAAGGGTTAAAACTATACCTCTGCTCTGCCCCTAACGATTTTAACATTTGTAAGCCCGGTAACATTCACAACGTGCTCCAAGAAAATACAACGCTTATTTATAGACTCCAGTAGAGTAACTCTCCAATCTGAATACAAGAACTTGACTTTTTTAGTAATCTGGAATACCATAACAAGCTTAATCTGACAAATTTGCATAATCGTATATGAAGCTAAAGAAAACCTGGACATGCAATGGCTAGAACCAACCCAGGAAGACCTGCCCCGCTTCCAACATCAACTAAATTGATGTGATCAAACAAATCATTGGAATGCAAGTTGTAACAAGCCTTTAGAGGAGGCAATATCGCAAGAGAATCTTCGATATGCCTCTCCATTACTTCATCAGCTTCTTTAGTTGCTGTAAGATTCATTTTCTGCACATTCACAAGGCCAATTCAAACTCACACAGCACTCACAAACAAAAACATACTTTAAACCCAATTGTAACAGAGACAACACCAGTGATTTCAATTGAGTAACATCACTTTGAGGTAGGAATATAAAGCAGACCAAACTATAAGATGTAAAAGTGAAGTAAGCCAGCAAAAATAAGATTGAGTTTTTTTCATTGTGCAGGTAAAAGCATTCGACTTATCATGCTTTGACTAAGATAGGGACTTATAACAAACACTTGGTGGGCAATACACTTAAACCTAAAATTGGCTTCTAAAGCTTTCAATTTGTTTAGAAATTCACGAATCTTTTCAAACAAGTAACGCTCAAGAATCAATCCTAAGAAGACCCAACAAGTTAATTCAGCAAAAGGGTCGAGAGAGAAAGACCTGGTTCCATTGGAGAAGTGTATCGACATAGAGATGGATTTGGTCCTGTTGGCTGGAACTGAGACTTTTGAAACATGAAGCTGTAGTGCTTACGGCGACATTAGTGAGGGCTTTGGACTGAAACCTCCTCCGGAGAAATGTGTACGATTTAGTGCATGGAAGGTGTTTGATTAAATGCCCCAGAGAGAGAACATGTGAGACGCTGTGCATTTTTTAGTGTTTTCGACAAATGTTTCAAACTTATCAATCGATCTCATATCCAATTGATAATGATTTGAACAAATATATGAGATAAAATTCTTAAAAGTATACGAATTATATTAAAATTTTCTTTTCACATACATTTTTTTCATTTCTTTTGTGACTAGAAATAAATCTACAATGTTTAATTTCATATTCAAACAAATATTTCAGTAACATTAGTAAAAAACCTACAGTTTCAAAATTTGCTGAAAATATTTATGTGTATAAATGTATCATCAGGATGATTTGGCTAATGTAATGGAGCTTATGTATCATATTTATACAAATTCTCACACTCACATAAAGAAAATTTGTAAGTCCAAACTGGTTTTGGTGTTTTGTAACAATTCAAAGAGTATGAAGAAAATTCATATCTTGCAGTCCTTGCTTTCACCACATGTCTCTACCTGCAAACACAATTATATCGTTGATCGGTTTTTCCGAGTAAAGATTATGACAGAAAATTGATTTACTTTGTCACTTACCTTATCTTTCTTTCTTGCTTCAAGAATAGCTTCTAAAGATGGCCTCCCTAATCAACAAAGATATCGAGTTTTTGAGACGCACAGATAATCAAGTAAGCTTGACAAACATTTTTCAGGTCATTTTATATACCTGTGACTTGAAGTCGATATTTAGCCCATACATCATACACAACATCTGCTAACTTCCCTATCTGCAAGTAATCGTGCGTGTTATCCGTGAACGCATAACTAAACAAAATGGCAAGAGAAAGATTCTCTTGGATTCAAGAGAGGCTTACTGGTTCAAATTTGGTGATAGTGTAAACCCAACCAAGTCCAACTTCTTCATACAATCTCCTAAATGCCTGAAAACGTTACACCAAAACTATAAATATGAAATGGTTCGTATAAAACAATGATGCTAAAAAGCTTACCTCCACACCTGTTACGACGTTGCCATCAGATTGAATAGCATGAATCTGCCCCATTACCTAATAAAGATCTCGATCAAATACGAAAGCTCGAACATCAAACAGAGAATGAAACAATTGAACAAGATTAAAAAGACAACAAATTTACTGTTTTGTAATCAAGCCCTTGATTATCTTCCGGAGAATAATCATTTGAACTTATGTCAACGAACTTTATAGTTCCATGTTTTTCATTCCTTTCCATAAGCATATTAACCTTCATTCACCAATAACAAGACAAAAATTCAGTACCAGAAACTCTTTATGAACAAGCATAAACAAAGGAACATAAGTAAATTATAGACCTCACGCATACAGAGAGGGCAATCTCCATCATAAAGCATTTTGATTTTCCAATTTTGTGGTTTTGGTTCATCTCTGTTCTTCAATGGTGTAATAACAGGATCAGTACTTGTTCCTTGAATCGCTCTAACTTGATATTTAAACCCTACAATTATGAATTTTGACACAAATTCTATGTTACATATTATCTATCTTAGAACAATATTGTAATGAATTTTGTTGTACCGGTTGGGATGATTCTGTGATTGAAATTGGGATTGAAATGGTTTGATAATGATCGAAGAGAAGGGTTTCTTCGGTGCTTCCATATTGTGGATGCAGCAGCAGCAGCTCCTCTCGTTGCCATTTCTCTTTTTTTTTTTTTTTTTGGTTCTGTTCCAATTTTTCAAAAGCTTCTTTGATGGAATTTCGATTTTTGGTGTTTAAAATCGAAGGGGTTAAATTTATGGTGCAGAGCCGTGCACGTGGCATTATTGTCTCCTTCAATGTTTTTGTATGCAGTTTTGAGAATGGGAACATCGAGCGTGTCCGTGTGTTAGGTCGGTCGCTCATGAGGAATATGAGAGACCAAATGGATATTACAGATTTTAATTTAATTTAGTTTTAGTTTTAATTTTATCAAAATTAGAGGCTTTTTAATCACTATTTGAGATATTTGTATTGTTAAAATTATTTACTTTTCGAAAATAGTATTGTCAAAATTTACAAGCGAGATAGTAGGATTTTATTGATGGAGTTCGTAAGAAAATAAAAGTGGTTTATAACATTGGTTACTCACTTAACATTGGTTTAGTTGGAAAACCTATCTAGGACAAAAGCAGAAAGAGAATAGTTTTAGAGTGATAAATAAATCTAATTCACCAATTTTAGGTAAATAGTTTTGGAGATCAGGAATACCGAAATTTTTTGCACAAGTGTTAAAGATCGAAGCCGAGTGAGGAAAAAAATTATTCACTTTTTAAGGGTGGAAGAATTTGATATCATCTATGATTTCATTTAAAACTAGGTAAAAACTCGTGCCATGTATTAATAAATTTTATAATCAAACGACTTAAAAAAAAAAACAAATTCAATGTTTTTATATTAAATTTTGAGATGGCAAAAATAAAATATTTTAGATTAAAATAATGCTATATAAACACCATGCAAATGACACAACTTTTTAGTTTACAGATTAAAGTACTTTTTAAAACTAAATCATAAATAATAACTAAAAAATGTAGTTATAAGACCTCTCAAATTTAAATTTATAGTGTGAGTTACTTTAAAATATGTTTATTAAATTATTTGTAATTAAATGCTATTGATCATGTATTTCATTTCAAGGAGCAACAGTTTTTAGTTTTTGTTTTGTGAAAAGTACATAATTGAAAGATGGGTATCTACACTATCTGACCATAAAAGACTTTATAATTAAGTTTCTATCTATGCTATTTTTTTAATTGAATGGACAAGAGAGAGAATGTTGTTTTGACATTTTTACCCTTTTTTATACATCTAATTTTTTTTTTTTTTTTCATCACATCTAATTGTTTCTCTTCTTCTTCATCTTCCATGAATTTTCTTCGACATTGTCTATGGTGGGTTTTCCGACGTTATTTCCGATCACCGTCTCTCCTCCAAATCCTTCTCTTTCTTCATCGTCATCTCCATTTCTTCACAAACAAATTCTATATCTAACTTTGTATTTGACTCGTCACTTCCATCGCTTTTATACACAACACACAATCAATCAATCATCACCAAATAATTCACAAAAACAAAGAGCTTGGAACAGAGATACAAAGGTAAAGAGAGAAAAAGAAATAATTAGTTTACATGATTTTAGAATGGATTAAACTTTTCAATTGAAGAATTTGGGGATGTAAATTATGTTTTTGTAATTTAGAGAAAGATCGAAGGGGAGAAAGAGGTGGGAAAAGGAGAAGAAGAGAAGGTGAGAAGGTGAAATTGGGATTAGAGTTGCAGGTAACAATGGAGGAGGAAGAAGATTTGAGAGACGTGAAGAGAGAGGAGAATATTTGAGAAGAGAAGATTTTTTTTTTCCTGATAACACAAAAGTTAACCCTGATAAATAAATTATCATGATAAATAAATATACTAATGTGTAAATTAGCGGTAATAAATAAATTATTAAAATAAATAAACAAGCTAATATATAAGTTAGTTGATATATATCATATAATAAATCATTTAACACAATAAATATAAGTTTATCATATAACTTGTAAATTTATCGTGATACAATATGATTTATATTGCTTGTAAACCAGGTTAATATATAAGTTAGCTGATATCAATCGGATAATAAATGATTTAACACGATAAATATGTGTTTATCACATAACTTATATATTTATCGCGATACAATTTTAGTTATACTGTTAGATAATCTCAAATCATTGTTTCTTTATTGCTTCCGGTGATGAATAGTGTTTTCGACGATATGTGAACAGTGTTTACCGTTGTTGTTAGATATAAACTTGTTATCTCGTTATTATTTTTGTTAGCGCGCACATATAATAAAGGGTAATTTTGGAATTAATTGAGTCAGAAGAGAGAGAACTAATAAAAAAAATAATCATAGTTAGTTTTTGGGTTTTTCAATCGTCTATGTATTTTAATTAATATAGCCCTTGAAAGATTGATTATATTGCTTATTCTTCGGTCAGTTTTGTCCATATGAAAACCATGGAGCAAGAAGGGTCCGTGATAGTCACCCCTAATCGACACCAGTCACAATGTCTAATGTGGTATTGCAGGCGAACCTCACCAACCTAAATAGTATATTTTCATCATGAAACAATAATATGTTTGGAAGGCTAGAAACAAAAAATGTTTTCAATTATCTTGATCAAATGCCAACAGCATTTTTAGTTAGTAGAGTGTGAAGCAATGGGTTAGTGATGGATTTAAGACATTGTCAATTTGCAACGATATGATATGTTATCTTCAAAATCGGTCGTATATAAGCAAGGGATTAGCGACAAACTTTTTCCGCCGTTCAATGCCTCTTTCCTTGTACTTTTTTTTTTTCCTTTCTCTTTTAATTTATAGTAGATGATTTAATATACATAGGATCAATTATCTAACAAATGATCAGCTCAAGCACGCTTCGATGCTTTCGGTTACGTATGTAACGCCAACTTTTGATAATTTCTGTATTATTCTACTCGAAGAACTCTTGAGTCTTCAGTCAAAAAACTGAATGATTGTTTTCAAATTTTTTCACTTTAATATCACAAACTCCAAAGGACCAGCTTTTGTCATTAGCCACTAACATGCCTTCCTATTTTCCAAACTAGATCCTTAAACTCCGAAGCTTCTCTTTAATGTTCCCCAAAGTTTTAGAATTTGCTCAGCTAGACCCTCCTTCTGAAATGCTTTGTAAAGAGGGCTGCCATGATCTTGAGATTCTTGACCTTTCTTTCTCTTGCTTCTTCATTTGCAGCTATAGACATTTTTTACCCAAGTTAAAACCAATTATCACTACTTAGTCGTTTGCTAAACTATAATTTAACATGTTAATCTTTGTAGTCACAAATTACCTGATCTTCATTGTCAAGCTTAGTAGAGTTAATTGCTTTCACCATCTCTAGCTTATCTTCCGACCATTTACTTTCTTTCTTCAACTTCGAACATTTTTTCGCCATTAAACCCTTCATTACCTCTGAATTTCACTCCAAATAGTTTCAAAATTTGTAGATTAGAATCCCATATGTATATAAATATAACTTTTATGAGAATGTTTCTTTTAATATAAGTATAAGTACGTTTTAAGTAAATTTTCTAAGCGCCTAGCTACATATAGTTTGAGAAAATCGAAAGCTAAAAAGGCCAAAATAGCTCATCTATTTCCTAGGGCTGCAACTTAGAAGATAGTAACATATTTTATATCAAACAAACTAAAAAAATATAGTTCAAATTCAATTACGAGATATGTAAATGGATGCAACATTATAGAGTTACGTTGGAGTAAATTTAAGCATGTTACTCGAATATATACCTTTAGTGGTAATGAGTCTATAGACGTGGCCGAGAACAAGCGTATCCGTTGGACGAAGGAGCTTGATCCTTGTGAGCCTAAGAGGGCCTCCATGACTGGAAGAGGTGGCCGAGAGAGCAGTGGTGGAGATAAGAAGAGAAACACAGTGACCAGGATTCATCTTCATCACATAACTAGCAGAAACTGGACAACTTAACTTTTCTTCTTTCCCATTTGGGTGTTGTATCACTACTCTCGCTGTATCCACTGCTTGACAGTTTCCCATCTTCTCCTTGATTTGTATAATTGAACGTAGAGAAGGCAAAAATGGGTTTTTATTTTGAAGTGAAAGAATTAATAGAGATTTGGAAAGATTGGAAAGAAGAAAGTGTAACCGAAGCAAAACACAAGAAGAGCGTGAAAGAAAGGAACAGTTTTAAATGTGTTTGACTCGACCAACGAGAGAGAATGAGTGCGGTCTTTGTCTTTGACGGTGGAGTCAAAATAATTACTGACACCGCAGGCCAAATGAGTATTCCGGTTTACGACAATCACTCCCAATATTCTTTTGCAATGATTTATGCAAATTTACGTTCATAACCCTATATATTTCTACATATTTATAAGTTCATTTTATATTCTCAAACAAAAAAAAATCCTAAGCTTTTATAGTTTTTTTTTGTCAACTGAAATTATATATATGATGTTTTGAAAGATACAAAAGCTAACATGACCATAAACAACAAGAGAAAGTGAGCACCACAACTCCACTTTCGACAGACAAACCACAAAGCCATTAGCAACTAAGCAAAGGCCTTTACAAAAGAATGAGCTCCAAAAAACTGAGCCAAATCACCCAAAAACTTTAATTCAATCAGAGGCAAACGCCCTTTCCTCCGCGAAGACACCCTCCAGCCAAGAAGGAAAGCCAACCGCAACATACGATTGAAGCCTACAAGAAAACACGCGTTTTGCGATGGAAGAATTTATAGCTATTCCGTCGCAAATCGACAATTGCAAGGGATTTGCGATGACAGTCAATTTGTCGCTATACGCGTCTCGCAAAGTGGGACCCGTAGCACATCCGTCGCAACTTTTGCGATTAAAATATTCCCTCGCAAAAGGCACGAAAATTGCGACGAACAATTACTCTTGCAAACAACTTGCAAATTATGACGTAGTATATCCCTCGCAAATATTACGAGGCTTTTGCGATGAACATACGTGAACAATAACATTTTCTGGGTGGACTTTTGAACTTGTGTCCCTCGCAATCTAGTAGCAATTTTGCGACGAACTTGCTAGGCTCCATTGCAATTCCGTAGCAGTTGTTTGCTATGAATTTGCAAGAATTATTACCACTGTTTCGTTTTCAAATAATTCATTTCAATTTTTTTTGCATTTGAAATTTTTCTGAAAAATAAAACCTGAAAT